CGTTCGTCCGTAGTCGTCGTCGTCGTCGGCGTCGTCGTCGTCGTCGTCGTTCGTCGTCGTCGTCGTCGTCGTCGTCGTCTGTCGTGTCGTCGCGTCGTGTCGTCGTCGTCGTGTCGTCGTCGTCGTCGTCGTAGTATAGTAGTAGTAGTAGTAGTAGTGGAGTAGTAGTCGTAGGTTCGTAGTAGTAGTCGTAGTAGTAGTAGTAGTAGTAGTAGTAGTAGTAGTATTAGTAGTCGTAGTAGTAGTCGTAGTCGTAGTCGTCTTCCTTCCCTTCATTAGTTCGTAGTAGTAGTAGTAGTAGTAGTAGTAGTAGTAGTAATAGTAGTAGTAGGATGTCGGATGTGGGATGCATAGTGCGCTCTTTAGCATCAAACGATAGCAATGCGGAATCGTACTTCACCGGCGATAGTGAAGTTCGGCCTCGCCGCCCCTCCCCCCAACACACCCTGCCATTGCACGGAATACTCAGCTGTCAAATGAAAAAGGGGGAGGTGCTCTATTATCCCGGGCACTCGGTTAGACAGGAGGGCAAGAAAGATGACGATGCACAACTACAAAGGCCAACTCGAGACCCTGCCCCTGGGACGGATCCTGCCGCTCGGGCCGCCGGCGGAGCTCCCTGTGGGGCCACGAGAACGTGTGAGGGGTGCGCCGAGGTGGAGGTGGAACTGCATGCGCCCGTAGGACGACGGTTCGGACATGCGGAGGTCCGAGGCAAGGGATGGGAGGGGGGAGGAGGGGGATGAGGAGAGGAGCGGGACCGCGGGGCGCTGTCTCTTCAGAACGAGGGCCTAGCACCACAAGACGGTTGGGAACAACCTTGAGATCAAGATCCGCAGTCATCCGCGATGGTCGGCCTCGATGCCTTGAATCAGGGCGAGAATGACGACGAGAAACCCCAACAGAGGCTCACATACGTCGCAAGTCGCTGATTGATATAGCCTTCGGGCCTGCATTCTGCCCCTACCCTCGCGCTAGTCACCCTCAGCGGGGCGAGGAGAAGGGTCGGGATGATGCGTCGGATAGTGTCGTGCCTCGGGATCCTTTTGCTCGCAGATCCGCACGGAGAAGGGCACGACGACGAGGCCAGGCCCGGGTCTGAGACGGTCCACATGCAAGCGGTCAAAGAAACAATGGCCGCACCCGTCATTTGAATTCGAAGGCCGAACGTGGGATCCCCGCGAGAAAAGAAGGGGTCTGCTGCGTCGGAGCTGGGTCTCCGATCGCTGGCACCTGCTACTTCGACACCCCAGAAGAGAGGGCGCACCAGCGCATGCAAGTTGCAGCTCAGAACAAATTGGTCTTCTTCATGATGCGGAGAAACTCCTCCTCGTTCACCTCCCCGTCGCCATCGCGGTCCGCCTCGTCAATCATCTCCTGCAACTCCTCGTCCGTCATCCTCTCCCCCAGTTCCTTGGCCACCCGCTTCAAGTTCTTGAAAGATATTTTCCCAGTCTCGTCGTCGTCGAAGAGCCTGAACGCTTTCAAGATTTCGTCCTTGGGGTCGCGGTTCAAGATCTTGTGCGTCATCATCTTTAAGAACTCCTCGTACCCGATCGTGCCGCTCCCGTCGTCATCCACGTCCGAGATCATCTTCTGGATCTCCTCCTTCTTCGGCTCGAAGCCGAGAGCGCGCATGGCCACCTTCAACTCCTTGGAATCGATTTCGCCAGAGCCGTCCGTGTCGAACAGGTCGAACGCCTCCTTGATCTCCTGCTTCTGCTCCTTCGTGGAAATGCCAGAACGAGGATATACGAGACCGACGTTTGTTTACGCTTTGCTTCCGTTGGCCTCCGGAGCCCTCAGCCTCCTCTGCCCACGTAAGGTACATGTGCGCCACTGGCCCCGCCGCACGGCTGAGCTTCCTCCTTCTGCCCTCACCTGACCCCCTCTTGCCCTCGCCTTACCCCTCATCCTTCATCCTGCGGCCTCCCACCGATGCCTCCTGCTGCTGCTCATGCTCCTCCTCCACCTCCTTCTTCTCCTCCTCATCCTACGCACCTTCTCCTTCTCGAACTCGTCCTCGTCATCGTCCTCCTCCTCCTCCTTCTCCTCGTCGTCGCCGTCCTCCTTCTCCACCTCCTCCTGCTCCTCCTCCCCCTCCCGTTCGTTACCCCCCTCCGTTTTCACCTCCTTTACGTCATCTACCTCCCCCCTCACTCCGCAAGCTCCGCTTCCCTTGGAGCTCCTCGGTGAGTTCCTTCTGCTTCTTGCCGCCCTGGTTGAATCGGCGCAGCGCCATTATGGTAAGGCGGAGTGCGAGGTCTAAGCAGGGCTCGACCTATTTCGTGCTCGGTTTGCGTTCGTGTTCCCTCGTTCTGTCTTCGCTTCGCCTTTGCTGCAAAACGACATCGAAATGAAAAGCCGCCCACGACATCGCTAAAGCACCGCTTAGGTCGAGCCCTGGATCTGCGCCGCGGACCGGCGAGGTGGGATCACGAGCGCGCTCGTGCTGCGGCGATCTGGTGCCGTGAGTATCCCTCCTTGAGGCAGAGCGGCTGCGTCGAGGGCTGGAATCCGGCGATCTGTGGCAACTCATGGGGGCATTCCATGTAATCGTGCTGGCTCTTGCGAACCGAGGGAGCCGACCAAAATGCTACTCAACGCGCGATGCAAACTCGACGCTAGTCGATGCTAGATCGGCGCCTGCTCACCGCATGTCCGACGCTGGCGCACACTCCTGTACTCCGAATACTAGAAAGTTCAAGCACATGCAAAGCCCCCATGAGTGGCTCCGAGCAGGCGGGCGGCCAGTCGGACCAGGCGGACGAGGTGCCGAACTGCTGGCATCAAGCACGCGCATCCTGAGAGAAGCGGGTCCTGGACCCTTGGGGTGGAGGCGGCTTCTCGAGCCCGAGCGAGGCAAGGGGGCCCGCCCTGGCTGAAAAGAAGCACAATGGACTTTCATACGGCATTGGACAGACCTGCGCATCTCGGGTGCATCCTTGGGAGGCGCCTGGGCCAAGACGGCTACACGATGGCTTCAGGTAGCTCGAGATGGGCTCCAAGATCGCGCAAGGTGGTCCGAGATGGCTCGACCATGTCCTCCGACATGCCTCCAAGAGGCCACGGGACCACTCCAAGACGGCTTCGAGCGGCCACGGAGCGCCCTAAGGAGGTCCACGAGAGACCAGAAAAGATCACAATTCTAGACGAGTTCGCATGCTGTTGGATGTCCCTCCTTTTCGCTTCAGAGGGGCACCCGATACCTCAAGATGGTTCCAACCCAAACATCGGGCGCTCCAATCGGCGGTGGACAAACCTCCCTCTAAGAGACCTCCCTTTAAGGAACACGGCCTAGGACCGAAACCGACGGACCCGGACCCGCAAAAACGACGGCCGCGACGAACTCTCGCGAACCGAAAACGGCCAATTCGCTAATCGACGTGGCAGGGTAGGAGGTCTACCAACCTCCGAAAGATGGTTCCAACCCAGACATCTGGCGCTCCAATGTGTTCATTGCTTGGACCCTGGACATCTCGACACCTTTCCAGAGGCAGACTGGTCATATCCCGGGTCGTTTCTGTGGCCGAACATAGCCGAAGACCCGCCGCTCATTCTTTTGTCGGAGCATCGGATCTCTCAGAAGACCCCCCAAGAAGGAACGAGCCACAAGACGGGCCAAAAAAGGTCCACTCTTCCTCCTCCTCTTCTTCTCCTTCTTATTATTCGTATTAGTATTCGTATCATGATCATTATTCTTGTTGTAATATTAATATCAGTACACTTAGTATGAGTAATATTCGTGTTCTGATTAGTTGTCATGTTCTTATTATGCTGAACATTATTACGTTGATAAATATTTCTACGATCCGTATTCGTCTTATTCGTCTTCTTCTTTTTACTCTTAATATTGTCAATATTATTATTATTATTATTCCTCCTCCTCCTCCACCTCATCCCTCCCTCCCTCCATCCCTCCCTCGCTCCCTCCCTCCCTCCCTTCCTCCCTCCCTTCCTCCGTCCTTCCGACCTCCCTCCTCCTCTTCCTCCTCCTCATCCTTCTCCTCCTCCTAGTGCTTCTCCTTCTCCTCCTCCTCCTCCTCCTCTTTTCTTCCTCCTCCTCCCTCCTCCCTCCTACCTCCTCGTCGTCCTCCTCCTCCCCCTCCTCCCCCTCATCGTCGTCGTCGTCGTCCTCCTCCTCCTCCTCCTCCCTCCCTCCCTCCCGCCCGCCCTCCCTCCCTCCCTCCGCCCTCCCTCCCGTCCTCCCGCCCTCCGCCCTCCGCCCTCCCTCCTCCCGTCCTCCTTCCTCCGCCTCCCTCCCTCCTTTCTCCCTTCTCCTCTCCCTCCCTCCTCCTCCTCCTCCTCCTTCTCCTCCTTCTCCTCTCCTCCTCCTCCTCCTCCTCCTCCTCCTCCTCTAGTGCTTCTCCTCCTCCTCCTCCTTTCTTCCTCCCTCCTCCCTCCTCCCCCTCCTCCCCCTCATCGTCGTCGTCCTCCTCCTCCTCCTCCACCTCCTCCAAGAGCGCCCAAGACGACCCCGAGAGGGCCCCGAGAGGCAACCTCTTGGGCTTAAAGAGAGTTGGCGGCGCGATACGGCACCGCCCCCATCCTTCGATCGGCTCCCAAAAAGGGCTCCAAGAATGCTCCAGGAGGCTCCAAGAGGTCCTCAGTAGGCCCCCAAGCTCTGCGTTCGGCCTCGTCGTCTCATTCTACTCATCCGTCTCCCTCCTCCTGACAGCTCGCATGTGAACCTGTTCTGGATGGGTGAAGCGTCACGAATCAGCCTTTACCACGTCGGCGGGTGCGGCGGCCTCGGACCTTACCCCCACGTAGCAGATGGACGGAACGCTACAGCTCGGGCTGCTGTCCACCCGCGGCCGCTTTCCCTCTTGTTCTTTCTCGCCATTGCAGCAACCAGCTCGATATCCTCACCCCCCTGTCACCTCTTTCCGCCCCATCAGCGTTAAGTTGGGCCTGTCCCTCAAAAGGAGGAGTACTCAAAAATAGTCACGAGAAGTCTGGGGACGATTTGCTTTACTGTGTTTGAATACAGTCGGGGCGTTGACCTAAGGAACCCTCAATAAGGAACGAGGCTCCTTTTTCCCCTGAAGTTACACTTCGATCTCCCATGGAAAACCTCATGAAAACCTAAGGCAAGCTGTAGAACAATCAAGGAACACCGAGCCCCTCCCCAACGAAAAGGGTTCCTTCTTCAGCGCCCCGACTGTAGTCTTGAATATGGTTGCGGTATTTTCTAGATTTCGTCCAAAATCCGCCTGTATGGGGGACACGACTTGACCACCGTCACCTGTGATGGGAGGAGCATCCTCGCCTCGCGTGTGCCTCTTCCCCGCCCTCCCCTGCAGCTCCACCCAGAACCGCAGCCTCGCGAGAAGCCGAGATCTGGAACAACGCACGCGGCAGAGAGCAGGCAGACAGCCGCACCAGGGCTCACCGGCGTTGCGACCGGACCGATGCTCTCGTCGATCAGCTCGATCGCCCGCGTCTGCTTCTCCATCTCCTGGGCGGACCGCCGCAGCGACAAGGCGGGGGGGCCGCCAGACCGCTGCGAGGCCGGGGGGAGAACACGCAACGGGCCTCAGACATCTGGACGCCAACAAATCCCATGGGACCTTGGGCTCCGGCGCTGGTTCCTGACTCCGCGGGGGTCGCTCAAGCCTGAACCATCGGCCGTCTCCGAAGCACCAGATCGCCAGATGCCGACCTCTTCAGGGTCGCCGGCGGCACTCGGCGTGGAACGCTCGCGCTGGGGTCGCCGCCGCGTCGACAGGAGACGAGCCAGCCTGCCGCACGCGCGCGCCATCTCGCGAGGCCGCCCGCCGATGGCGACCGTGAGGGTGAGAGAGAATTGAGCATCGTTTAACCGATCCCTATCCCCACGGGCGTGGCCCGGGCCCCATTGACCGATTTCCCCCCCCAAGATGGGGGCACAGGCTGTCCCCGCGGGGCATGTCTCCCCAACAGAGGTGGTGGGATGGTGGGGATGCGGACGAGCATGGGGATCGGTCAAACGATAGTGAAGAGTGTAGAGGCCTCCTAGATGGGGTCCGAATAGATGGGGTCGATGGGGTCGGAGGATCTCGCCGCATCGGCGATGCATCGGCCATGCACTGGCGACGTCGGCGATGCATCGGCGACCTTGGCGTGTAGAATATTGGGCCACGCATCGAGCCGCATCGCTGATGCATCGCCCACGCATCGCCGATGCGGCGCGATCCTACGACACCATCTACTCCGACCCCATCTAGGAGGCCTAGAGAGCGGCTGCACGAATGTCGAAACACGCCCCTCACCGCTCTGGCACGCAGAAAAAAAAGCGCGACCGCCCGCGCCCCTCACCGCTCAGACACTGCCCCCCGGGGCGGGCCGCGCCGCCCACCTCGGCGGCCCCCCGAGCGGCGGGGCTCGTGGCGTGACGGACAGGGCGCTGCTCTCTCCGACACCGCGTGAATGGTGCAGCCTGCACATCCTCCTCCTCCCTCCTCCTTCCTCCATCCTCCTCCTCCCTCCTCCCTCCTCCTCCCTCCTCCCTCCTCCCTATTCCCTCCTCCCTCGTCCCTCCTCCCTCCTCCCTCCTCCCTCCCCCCTCCTCCCTCCTCCCCCTCCCTCCTCCCTCCTCCCTCCTCCCTTCTCCTCCTCCCTCCCCCTCCCTCCTCCCTCCTCCCTCCTCCTCGTCCCTCGTCCTCCCTCCTCCTCCCCCCTCCTCCTCCTCCTCCTCCTCCTCTCCTCCTCCTCCTCCTCCTCTTCTTTTTCTTATTATTATTATTATTATTACTCGTATTATGCTTATTCTTATTAGTATTATTATTCGTCTTCTTCTTCTTATTATTATTATTATTATTATTATTATTCGTCTTCTTCTTCTTCTTCTTCTTCCTCCTCCTCCTCCTCCTCCCCTCCTCCCCCTCCCCTCCCCCTCCCCTCCCCCTCCCCTCCCCCCCCCCCCTCCCCCTCCTCCTCCTCCTCCTCCTCCTCCTCCTCCTCCTCCTCCTCCTCCTCCTCCCTCTCCTCCTCCCTCCTCCTCCTTCCTCCTCCTCCTCCTCCTCCTCCTCCTCCTCCTCCTCCTCCTCCTCCTCCTCCTCCTCCTCCCCCCCCTCCCTCCTGTTTCGTTTGGGAGGCTTGGGGCCCCTCCAAGGGCCGGCTGCCTCCTGGAACGATCGGGCGGCTTCCGGATCTCCAGATCGCGGCGTACTGGCTGCTCCTTGGTCGCACGCGGCATGCAACCAGGAAAACCCGCGCCGGGGTCGCCGCCGCGGCGGCACGCCACGAAGCTGCCTTGCGCATGGACCCTGGTAAACGAGGACGTTGGCGGGCCCGTGAGCTGGGGCGGTGCCATTTCGGCCCAGGCCCCTGTCTTACTGTGCGCGTTCGAGTATGGACCCCTTGTTACCCATGGCTACTGGGCGGCGGTCTTCGGACGGAGTTCGGCGGCCTTCGGACGGACTTCGGCGGCTTCCGGCTGTGTTTGATGGTTTCCAGCGGTCTTCTACGCGGAAGCTGGATGGCTGCGTACATCAATCGGCGGTGGACAAACCTCCC